GATAACGATAATAATAATGATAATAATAATGATAATGATAATGATAACGATAACGATAACGATAATAATAATGATAATAATAATGATGATGATAATGATAACGATAATAATAATGATAATAATAATGATGATGATAATGATGATGATAACAATAGCGATAATAATAATGATAACAATAATGATAATGATAATAATAATGATAACGATAACGATAACGATAATAATAATGATAATAATAATAATTATGATGATAACGATAACGATTACCATAACCATAATGATAATGATAATGATAATGATAATGATAACGATAACGATAACGATAACCATAATAATAATGATGATGACAATGATAATGATAACGATAACGATAATAATAATGATAACAATAATGATAATGATAATGATAACGATAACGATAACGATAACGATATTAATAATGATAAAAATAATGAAGATGATAACGATAACGATAACGATAATTATAATGATAACAAAAATGATAATGATAATAATAATGATAACGATAACGATAACGATAATAATAATGATAATAATAATGATGATGATAACGATTACCATAACCATAATGATAATGATAATGATAATGAAAACGATAACGATAATGATAACGATAACGATAACGATAACGATAATTATAATAATAATGATAATAATAATGATGATGATAATGATAATGATAACGATAACGATAATAATAATGATAACAATAATGATAATGATAATGATAATGATAACGATAACGATAATAATAATGATAAAAATAATGAAGATGATAACGATAACGATAACGATAATAATAATGATGATGATGATAATGATAACGATAACGATAATAATAAGTAATGGTAACAGGACTGAGTGGAGTCCAATTCGGTTTGTAATCATACGAGTGATTAACAAAATCGTACGACCGCGTAGCGGGAGTCCGATTTGTTTAATCACGAGTATGATTACAGACCGAATTGGACGACACGAAGTTCTGTTACCAATTAATCATGACTCAAACAAAATTTGTGATATAATAGGCTATTTTTTTAAATCAAAACACAAGAAAGTCAAAATTCTGTTTTGCTAGCAGTGAAAAAAAAAGCCATGTAAGCGCGCGCGTGATGGCGCGTACTGTCCAATTACTTAGGCATGACGCGTACTGCCCTATTGAACTGTCCAATTACTGCGCTTTTCACAAACATGCGAACTCTAAAGTTCGAAAGCTGCCTTCACAATTGCGTTTTTCGCTGCCGTCAATCATAATTATGATCACGAGCAGAAAACCTTGAAACACAGAAACATACAAAACGGATCGAAATCCACCAATCACAAACCATGACCTTTTGAACCCGTTAAATTAAAGTTTTGTTTCCTAGGAGGTCCGTTAAGATGATTGACGGCAGCGAAAAACGCAATCGCCAGTTGGCTTTTGAACTTCACAATTCGCATGTTTGTGAAAAGCGCAGTAAGGCTAAAATCAGGGCAGTTGATAGCCAATCAGATTTGACAATTTTGTTATAGTTATGATTATGATAATAATAATGATGATGATAATGATAATGATAATGATAATAATAATGGTGATGATATTGATAATGATAACGATAATTACAATCATAATGATAATTCATGATTCAAGTAGAACTCTCCTTTGCCTATGCACTCCCTTGTGCGACAGTTGGACGAAATATGGTACTTTAGAACATAATTACTCACTTCTGCAATTGTATAAAGCATTGATTTCGACTGCGTCTCTTGTACTTAGAAGGTGTTTCGGAGTTCCAAATTCCATGTTCTCGTTTCCATTGGCTACAATGGTGGGTTTGCCGTATTTGGTGAATGCCAGTCTATCATAATGCATGACGGATTGATAATCGTAGGACACGCCCAAATTATCAGTAGTCCTCCACGAATATTTGTCAAACTGGTCTTTAGATTCTGAAATAAAACAAAATTAGGTAGGTGAGGTAGGTAGAGTAGGTAGGTAGGTAACACACTTGGCTTAACGTATTTCTTGTAAAGACATATTTGCACACATTTAACTATGAAGGAGCATTTCATGATATTACTCCATCATCCTCAAATTCAAAAACGCTTTTTTGATGCATTCTATAACAATTGGAAAGTAACTGAGACCCCAGGAATGGTGAATGATGCCAAAAAAAAAATGTAATTTCTGACGTTTGAGAAACATGGGAACGAATTGGACAGAAATAAATAGCATTTCTGACGGCACGGTTAAGGGGCGCGCGGCATTCGAGGGATAGTTTCGGATTTTTTATGGTTTTGGCACGAGAATTGTTCCTTTTCTCGTGTTAGTGAAGTCAGAATAGATATCTGAACACTTCTAAAGATATCACGTAGATTTCAAAGTACTAGTTAAACAAACCATTTTTTTTCAATTGACAATTGAGTAAAAGGTCGTGTCGTCGAAAATAAATAGACCTTTTTAGCTTTCAGTTTGTAACAATAGTTTGCCGTCTGTTGCTGATGGCCGGTTAACACAACGTAAGTATGATTTACTACTGTATGCAATATCTTACTAGGTAGAATGTTCTCCCAATAGATCTTGACATCTTTATCTCGATCGCTTCTTGATTGCTCGTGGAAGAAACCTGAAGCAGATATGAAAGATGCTATATACAACTGGATCTATATTACCAGTGGCGGATCCATGGGAGTGGCCGGGGGGACCCGGCTCCCCCCTTATTTTTAGACCAAACTGAGGCTCGAAGGGCCGAAAAATTCTTTTTGGAGACCGAGCAAAAGTGAAATTTTAAGGTTGTGTTCAATCGTTCATGTTGCCATGGAAACAACGAAAACGTCACATTTTACCTCTCGATCAAAATCTTTCATCAGTATATTTTTCACCTGCCAAGTTTCGGCTTGTGAGCTGCAACCTTTCTCTTGCCATGATTTGACAAATGACATATACTCACAAACTACCAAAACTATGTTCAGCCACCTTAACAAGAACGTTTTTGTAACGGAGTGCGTTAAAGCAAAGCAAGAGAGGATAATTATAAAGTTTTTTATTCTCTCTTGAGCAAAGTAAAGAACTGTTGAAACGAAACATCATTGATACTTCAAGTACTGCAACTTCAATCAGGGCCAGCCCATAGACCTGGAGACCTGGGACTACAAATTTTTTATTTGACCAGTCTACTGTTTGTAATAAATTATGCGTTGTTGGGGTGAGCTAAAAAAAGTTATATTAAGAGCTAAAAGTGTTGGTGAGGTCACTGCGTACTAGCCATGCGTACAATTTTCAGGATAGGTGGAAATGAAAGCCAACCAAACCTAAAATTAGTCGAAAAGCTGGCTTCACCCCTACAAACCATGTACTGTAGATCACATTGTAGTCCCGCATGTAAACCTCGAATACCTAGCTAGAACATACGATAAGGGAAGCCCATGATCTTTTTGTCCATCGCATAAAAACGCGAGAGAAAAATTACCTATTGCATGCATCATTTCATGCACGATCGTTGGGACGTTATTACAGCCATTAGCAAGGGAGATTTCTTGAGGGATGCTTTGAACGTAATGCTTTCTCACCTGATGAACACCTAAAATGATAAAAAACGTTTAGATGAAGAATGGTTTTCTCTCAATGCTGTAGAAGCCGGAGTGGTTAATTCTGAGCTGCTCTAAAAACTATTTTATCCAATGGGATGTCTTAGGGGAACTTTTCTAGTCTTGACAGTTTTAAGGTCATTGGATTTTCTTCAGGTCTCCCCTGAAACTGTCAGCTACCCTTATGGGTCCGGTGGAAAGTCCGAGGACATAAGAAGCCATCATTTGCATTTTCTATATACCAGAAAAAAGCCCTGAATATCTGCGGTTATCCAGAAATTTTTAGCCTTTCTCAGGCTTTAGAAAATTCTAGGAAATATTTTGCTTAGTCCCTAGGCCTCATTATTCCGCGCAGCCAAAGCGTTTCGGGTCACGTGGTACAAGCGAAGATGTGACGTTTCCCGTCCGTTCGCCTCGGATACGTCCCGAATTGAATTGACTGAGAGGGACTGGGAAAACGCTTTAGAGGGAATAGGCAAGGAAATGGTTATATTTGCTCATTTGAACAGTTATTCACTTCAAAGAACAAAGTTGTTAGGTACTCCTATCCACATGCGCGTTTTATCAGGAGGAAAAAGAAAGGGCGGGTGGGAGGGGAGGGAGCGGGGTAGGGAAAGGGAAAGGGAAAGGGAAAGGGGATTCTCATGGGACAGCTGATAGGTAAACAGAGTAATTCCCCTTTAATTTAGTCTACCCTCCATGCTCCTCTCAGGCAAAGTAAGTTATTTGCACCTTTTTTGTGCAATTATTTTAAGCAGTTTTGTTCCTTAACCCTGCTAAGAAAAGAACTGTTTTAAAAAGAAGAAAAAAAGAAAGAAAGAAAACATAGCGCACCTCTGGATTTCTCTATTCGATAACTTACCCGTCGCCGTTTCCAAATCGAATGTAGTTACCCCCATGGACTGCCCTGTTGTAGTATTGAAATCGGATGCATGTTTTACTGTGGAATTCCTGAATCGCTTTGTACACATTAGACGCGACATGGCCTGTGGGTTAAGAAAGAAATTAAGTCTGAGTTTCGCGCATACTGATTGCCGCCACTTTTAAAGCGACACAATTTTGTTAGCCTCCTTCGTGACGAGGCCCTGAGAAGGTTTGCGTAAAAAAGCTACGATCTTGTGGAACGACAATTATAACACAGCTTGCGGAGTAAATTAGAAGGGTATAAGGTCAAGCTAAAAGCGTTTTGGGGCGTTATCGAGTAAGCAAAGGGATTTTTATGGTTGTTTGTGCCCAGGTTCCCGAAGGCCGTGAGCAAAACAATAACACGAACGCAATAGCAGAGGGGTAGGAGGACTAGCAGTCAGATGACATGCAACGTGATAGGAAAGAAGTAGAGTGGCGGATTGGCTAAAGAACTTACCTCCTGGATACCGGACAACTATCTGAAATAGTTTTCGGGGTGAATTTAATAAACCTTTGGGAAGTGTAATTTATAAGTGTAGCTATTGTTTTAGAGTCTGAAAACAATAGCTATACTTGTAAATGGCGCTTGTAAAAGTTTTTAAAAAATTAANTTTTGTCGGCGCACCCGCCCAGGCTCACCCCTCCCTCCACCCCTCCCGCCTCGTTGTGGTTGTTGGTGGGGGGGTTGTTGTTTGTGTTTGTCTGGGGGGGTGGGGGGGGGGGGTCGTGTTTTTGTGGGGTTGCGGGGGGGGGGGGGGGGGGGGGGGGGGTAATTAGGAAATGTTTATACGGGGAGGCTCTGCCCCGAGGTCCAACCCCTTACCCTTTAAGATATAATTTGTCTCAAAAAAGGTACCCCTTCCGTATACCTTCTATTGACAAATGGTACCCCTTTCACATACCTTGTTTAGAACTTTGCATCCCTTTTAACTGCTGTTAATGCACTGTCTTTTAAATAGCAATCAATCAGAAAACACGATGTTTTCTCGATTTTATAAAGCCTTAAAATTCATCTGTTACGCCTTTTGGGGTCCTTTCACAGACCCAAATGACAGATTTCCCTCCCCTTTTATATACTTCAACTAGTAAAATCCCTACCCTTTCATATACCTGAAGCCTGAAAAAAGTACCCTTTTCGGGCGGAACCTCCCCGTGTAGGTCCCTATAGGGCATCGTATGAAGTACCTCCCCGGGATCGTACCTCAAAGTCTAGTGATATGAGAATTCCCGGTAGGGAAACCCAACACACTAATCATTCCTTTGAAAACAAATCGGGCGAGTATTGTTTTCAGTCATCATGATAAGCAAAATTGTTATATAGCCGGAAATTTCTTCTTAACAGTGCGCGGTCGCATTGGTTACTTCGAGGTCACATGACGTCTAACAACGAAACTGATTCCCGCCAAACTCTCTGAGCTGGCAACATTGCAAACAATCTATGACGTCAGAAGGTAACAATGCAGTGTTACCCGCTAATGTTGACAGATGATCGCCGTTACAGCGAGGTTTAATGAATTTCCAGCTTCAAAATTTCCAGCTACATAACAAATCACAAAAGACTGGTCAATCGGGAAACATTGTTTTCCTCGAATCTTAATATTTCCCTCGGCTTCGCCGCGGCAACATTGAGATTCTCGAGAAACAAAATTAACTGTTTCCCTCGTAACCAGTCATTAAGAGTTTAACACTTAGACTGCAAAATATTCGGGTTTCTTTTTTTCTTAAAATCGCTAAAGCGTGGCGTAAGAGTTCTACGTGCGCGAACCGCGCGGGCCTTTCTTTGCCCGTAGGGCGTGTAGGGCGTATTTTTAGCGTCTCCCCCAGCCCCAGTCTCGCTCGCCGTTTTCAGCCTCGTTCTAGACCGTTTGTTTGACTGCTCGCGCATACCTGAATACGCAAAAATACGGACTGTTTCGCAGTCTAAGGGCCTGTTTACATGAAGGTGAGAGACCCCAGGTAGGTGAGGTAACATGTGGCGGGTTACCCCACCTAACATGTAAACGCGATCACATTAAAATGAGAGATTATATGGACTGGCAGGTTACCTCACCTATCTGGGGTACCCCACCTCCAGGTAAACAGGCCCTAAATACTTAACGTCTCTTTTACCTCCTTAGGAGAAGTGCTACAAAAATACATACCCATACGGAGGGAATCTGGTACGGTATAATCTGGGTGTTCCATACTCGTTTTTTTCTCGAATGGCGTTCCGTCAGTTTCCGCCCCTTGTTATTTAGTCCTCAAGTTCGGGGTCAAGCTTTGATAAAAGCTGATATGTTTTCTGTTACAAAGGAACAAAAATAAAAATAAAAATCTTAAGAAAAGAGGTTCAACAATTATGTATCCTAAAGGCCATCCTTTTTATGCAATTAGGTTAAAAGTAAGATGAAAAACAGACGATAAACAGACTGAGCTAAAGCTAATCTGCGACTTTGAAGAAAGTGCATACGAGGCCATTTTGATTGAAAGACACTGCATGTTTTTTTGCATGCTAAGTATAAATAAACAGGCAAACAAACAAATCAGAAAGAAATGGGGAAAAAATTCCAGTAATTTTAGTTATTGATATGCTAATGCAGCTCATCAACGTTATCTAAAGCTGCGTGCAAATGGGCGCAACAACTCCCGACATTGTTGCGCCAACAATGTTGGGAGTTGTTGGGTGGGTGTTAGCAGTAGTGTGCAAACGGATGCAACAACTCCCAACAATTTTGGGACCTGCAGTGCAACGTGGAAAGGATACAAGCCATAAATAAGTCTTTGTAAACCATGCGTAATGAGCGTGCGTGGCCCCAACAATGTTGGAAGAGTTTTGCAAACGGATCCAACATTGTTGCGCTACGCTTCGGCGATCATGGAACAAAAGAAATGTTGGGAGTTGTTGGCTGAAAAGTTTGACCGGTTTCAAACTTTACGCAACAACATCCAACAACATGCAACAGGGTGTGCAAACGAACGCAACATGTAACATCCAACAATGTTGGGAGTTGTTGGCCAACAATATAAAATGTTGCGTCCGTTTGCACGGGGCTTAAGGCATTGTAAAAATTATTTTAACAGTAGATAAATAAATTTGTTAAGCCAAGTGATATGTATACCTTTGTTGATTTTTACAATTTCTTTAAAAGCGTGTTCGCCATCTGCTTCATTCCCGGCTGTCTGACTTTTCTTTCTTAAGTGCGCCATGTTTACAGCCAAAATTCGGCCATGAAATGTCTGAAACTCTGAACTGAAAAGAAAAATGGCAATGTAAATCAATATAGCGGAGCACCACGCGCGCGAACGGAACCCCGTGGTTAAGAAAATTTGGTAATCTATACATCCGAGAAAATTTGGTTATGACGTCAGCGTACGACCGAACGCTGACCGTACAGACACTAGGGGAGGGGGAGGAGGTCAGGAGTCGGCCCGTCGGGGGAGGAGTATGTTATAGCTGAGGTGAATTTTTTGCATTTCAAGCACCCCGGTCGATTCGGCGGTAAATTACATGGGTGCCCGACTTTTAGAGAGAAACAAAAACAGAGTCTTTCTTTCCACAAAATTTAAATGTCTACATTAACTTGGATAACAGGCAAAGAGCTAGACGGAGAAATAAGTAACAACGGAAACCAAATTCGTTGGAAGAAAAACATGAAAATGATAAAGCCGTGGTGAGAGTGTGCTACACGTGCAAAGATGTTTTTTTTACTAATTAGGAAAGTGTACTGCACGTGCAAAGTTGTTTTTTTTTTGCTAATTAGAAAAAAAAAGTGTGCTGCACGTGCAAAGTTATTTTTTTGGCTAATTAAATCTATTGTTGTTGTTTTTTTTTTACAGTTCTCGTTGTCTTCACCTTGTCTTTAGTATTACTCGATTTTATATTTTCATTGAGGAAACTATAAATATTAAAGAGAGTTTCGCTTTTATATATTACGTTTAAATCACTCAGCTCACGAAAAAAAAATTGAAAAAAAAAAACATCTAACTAAATCTTCTTCTTCTTCTTTTTCTCTTTTGTACTTTACACCTATTAATGACTTCTAGAAGACAAGCAATTTCCTCTTTTAGAAATGTCCTCTATTTCAGCATTAATGAAATCA